CCTACAAGACTGTAAGATAAGGGGTTCCTCTGTATCTCCGCCTCGTCTCACGTCGAGCAATACTTCAAGATAGAGTGAAACACGTAAGAAATTTGCTTAGGTTCTTTATTACGTCTTCAGGTGGACATCACACTCGGGAGGCAGCAACCTGCGTCGAGAACACATCCTACGGCAAAAAAAGGTGTAGGACAGAGTATTGTGAATGGCTGTCCATCTGGAAATACCGTCACGATCACAACCTCGCCGCGGTGATAGCCCACGGAGTGCACATGCCCGAACTAATTAATGCACGAACGCACACCCAGACATTCTCATAATAATCCCCGCAAATATTTATCGCAAAATGAGCTACTTTAGTGAAAGCCGAACAACGTAGACGCTGAAATATTTCAGATAAATCCAACTCGCTGCCAACCGAATTGAAAGGCTCTAAAAATGGTAAAACCGTATATGAGTAGGCTAACACCCCAAACAAAACTTCATTTCACATCATACTTAAAGAATAATTGCTGTATTTATGTGAGAGTATTATACTCTACAGCAATTGTATAATGTCGTACCATAGATACTGGAAATGTATGAAGTATTCTTACATAATACATATACATGGTTATGTTCTCCACATACATAAGGACATAATATTATCCCATATACATTTCCCAATCTTTTTTGTTCTTTTGTACCCCTTGAACAGTTTTATATATTCCCGTGGAACCCTTAAACTTAGAGAAAAAACGATAAAATTGATATTTTGATATCATTCTATTATGAAATATGTGTGTAGACTGCACAAGAATATTGATGGTGATAACATTAATCTGTCTATCTGTCTGTCTCGCACTCTTTCTTTTTCGCTATGTATCTCTATTTCTCGTTTTCTCTATCTATCTCTATTTGTCTCTCTGTCTTTTCTCCACTCTCTCTCTCTCTTTCTATCTGTATTTCTATTTAACTACCTATATGTATCTATCTATCTATTCATATACATCTGCTTGTATATGAATAGATAGATAGATATATATAAGTAGTCGGGTAATTTATATAATATTTTGATCCATTAAACACGCTTTAAATTTCATAACAGTGAAAAACAAATGGTATTTACCCTACTCTAGTAAGCTTTCCTTATTAAAATGAAGGAAAAACTGTGAAGCCTGAATGCATTGGACAGTAGTGGCTATTTCCCCCTGACCTATTGTACTCCCTGAGAAGTGCAAATGTACTACCGGGGGGGACAAGTACACCAGGTTGGGAACCCCTGCTGTAATATGTGTTTAGTGTTGCTCTGGATTTTAGGATTTTATTCGAAATCGTGTAAGTTTCGTTTATTCTCATGACAAAGAGGAATAACGGAACTGGTTTTAGTTTTGATACGAGTTTCAATTGTTCAAAATGTCCTCGATGTTAGTCAGAATTCAAGGATTCCGACAGATTGGAAATGAAAAAATAACTCGCGACATTTCTGTTCGACACTAGAATTGGCGATCGCTGCCCCATGTGTGAACAAATCGACTAGTTGAGTTATAATTTTCGTGGAGAATTAGAAAAGACAGTTGATGTGACCCAAGCAGATCTCTTCTTCGGTCCTTCATAGGCCTTCTTTGTCGTTTAGGCCTCAAATACTCCCGAAAAAAAGGGATGTTAACTCACCATATCCGTATCTTAACCGACCTCCATCTTTGACGTTTTTGTGCCGTACGTATTTTTAGACGCGAGGTACGCCCGAGGATGCCGTAGCTACGATACTGTTCGGGAGAGCGACTAATACTTTGCAGAGAGAACTTTCCGTCTCCCGACTCCTACTTAGCGAAATCTAGAATATCCTGAGACATTCCATTCACACTTCCATCAACAATCACATACCACAAAAACACCTTCGAGTAGACATACACTCCCCTGGTTCTCTAGAAACCTAAGAAGACAACATTGAAGAAAACAGACTTCACAGACGCGCGCAGTCACACAACAACAACAACAACAACAACAACAACAAAAACCCAGAAAGAAGACAGAACGCGAACACACGAGTAAATATCCTGAGACGATTCTTTAAGTTCTTCAAGACGTGTAGACAGGACACCACTAATATAAACTACATTTAAAGACCACAGGGACACTCTTGTCACCTCACCAGAACACGCCTCCCAAACAGACGTGACGTTAAACAAGTAGACGCAATAGTATTAGACCACTAAAGCCTTGGGCAAAGTCCCCCACAAAAGACACCTCAGTTTTACGGAATTACTGGAATAACTCTTCACTGGAACTCGGCTCTTCTTTCTAACAGGACCCAACGTGCTCTTCTTGACGGCACTGTACTGTGATCCTGTCCCCACCTCTCCTGGTGTTCCCCAGGGCAGCGTCTTGGGGTCCTTCCATTTCCTTCTCTACGTAAACAGTCTCCCACTATCCACCCCTGATTCTACAGCTAGTCTTTTTGATAATAATAAGGATAATTTAGTTTGTATATATAAAAGCAATGGTAACAGTAATGATAATA